AAACTAGACCAGTCTGTAGACTAGACAAGACTGCATATTGGCTCTTTATGGACTACTGCTTCTCTGGTTAGTCAATAAACAAATACGACCAACTGTATTTGACTATTCCATATATGTACTAGACATGGGCTCTCTATGGACACGGCCAATGACTAGTATATAGGCTTGAGTATAAATTAGACAATAGAGTAGTCAGTAGATTCGACCTTAGTGTAGTTTATTGTTTAGTCTATAGAATAGTCCGTATACTAGTACAAAGACTAATTCATAATAGACTAGACCATAGACTAGATCAAAGTCTAATAAAAAGTATTGCATTTAAAAGACCTTTATAATTTTATATTATTTTACCATTCGGATTTAAATAGTAATCCTAAAAAAGTACTCTCTTTAGTAAAATTTATTACAATTCGCCATATTGTAATCTCTTTCAGATTTCATAACAATATCAGAGAATATAGTCAAGAAGTGTAATTTTTCTGCTCTGAAGTTTAGTAAAAATTTGAGCGAAGATATTACTTTGAACTTGTGTCAGAAGTACGATTTTAGATTATTATTTCTATGACGAAACAAATTTAAAATTGTACAAAATGAGACATTGGTAGTTTTGAAGATCGAATTGTACCAATTAAAGTACAATTATACCAATTTTGCCAACCCTGCCTCACGTTGTGTTCATTAATTAACGAAAGCGTTGCAAATTTTTGTCTTGACTGCTGTTTAATTTTTTTCCCGCGTTACAAATGCAGGGTCCATATTTATTTAATTCAGATTTTTTTTGGGAAATCCATTCTTAATAAATTATATTTCTTAATAAATTGTTTTTCTTATTAAATGTAAGTTTAATATGAGATTTTTCAAAGAAAATTATCTCTATCTCCCTGGTTCTCGGCGAGTCTCTTATTCAAAGTCAATATTTTAGTCAAAGCTTCAATTTGTATAATATCAAAATCTTAAGCTCCCTTAAGGAAATATAAGAACATGCAATACCGAGTAAAATTTTCATTGGGAGTATAATATAATTCTTTCAATTATAAATCGATTGTTTGGTAGAGTAAGAATGCGATTTTTAATCAAGCTCAGTGATATCGAGATAACATCTATATAAATACTTATATACATATTTTTGTAATTGTTTTTCTCTCTAATTAAATTCTCTCATTTCAACAGTAGTTGTATGTGAGTTATGAAGACAATCTATAACTAATACATTCCTATAGCTTAATGTTAGTCTGCATAATATGAAAATTTTCAATAGTTTTTGTTCAAAAACCAACCCACAGTAGTGTTTTTATTTTTGTCCCGATATTTACTAATATCAAATACAAACAGTAAAAGATAAATAATAAATTCAAATATATTCGCATAAATAATAAATAATGTTAAATAAAAGTTTAAAAATAAAATCATATTAATTTGAAAGGAAAAAAAAAAAAAATACAGCTTAAATCACTAATAAATTGCAAAATCAGCAAAAATAAACATAATTATTCAGGCAGTTCATAAAATTAAGATTCCAATGAAAGATTTAAAAAAATATTTTTGAAATTTATATTTTTCTTAGAGAAATGTACTGAGGTGGGGATTGGCTTAAGTTTGAACTTAAGTTTAAGAAGAGAGCGATGCATTATGCATTCCAAAATAATTACAATATTCCTGACCCGATCAGAAAATCATTAGAGAGTCAATTTTCAGAAACCTGAATGTTTTTGGTTTCTAATCATAAAAAAGTGGTCTCCGGTAGGTTAGTGTTCTAGTGTGGTAGACGGATGGTCATGGGTTCGATTCCCACCTGAGGCACTGGAAAAGGACTATTTAACTAACTAACTAACTAACTAACTAACTAACTAACTAACTAACTAACTAACTAACTAACTAACTAACTAACTAACTAACTAACTAACTAACTAACTAACTAACTAACTAACTAACTAACTAACTAACTAACTAACTAACTAACTAACTAACTAACTAACTAACTAACTAACTAACTAACTAACTAACTAACTAACTAACTAACTAACTAACTAACTAACTAACTAACTAACTAACTAACTAACTAACTAACTAACTAACTAACTAACTAACTAACTAACTAACTAACTAACTAACTAACTAACTAACTAACTAACTAACTAACTAACTAACTAACTAACTAACTACCTACCTAACTAACTAACTAACTAACTAACTAACTAACTACCTAACTAACTAACTACCAAGCAAAAACTTACTTTTTCGTTCTTCAAAAGCTATTGTTTGAATTTTCTATTAAATTGAACATTAAATAAAATATTCTCAGTCTTTAGACATTCATAGTGTTGTAAAGACATTTTGGTACTTTTTCGTTCTTCAACTGGTACTTTTTGCTTTTTTCGCAATATTGGACCAAGAACCATATGATCAGACATATAGGACATTAATGGAATGAAAACCTAGAATAGTGAATAATTTGGTACTTTTTGTTCTTCAAATGGTACTTTTTGAATCTTTCATAATATTAAAACTAGAAACGCAGCATACTGATTGAATGAAATTGTATAAAAGAGGACTTTCTGGTACTTTTTCTTTTTCCAACTGGTACTTTTTTCATTTTTTTTATAATAAAACACATATTGGCTCTTTTTTAAAAACACTATAACGAAGATTCGGCACAGTCAAATATAGAACTCTTACTTTTTTAAATTAAATTTATTTTTGTAAAGAATTTAAGGACTACCTTCGTATACACATTTCTGTTCATCTTATCTATTTATTGTTTATTATTTATTTATCTATTGTTTTTGATTGTTTTTCTTTGATACAATATTTTGTTACTGTCTTTATTCAATTTCTTTAGTAGTTGGTTGAAATTACATTCCAATATTGATAGTTAAATTAATAATTTTTAACAATTGTATTTAATAAATCTTTACAATTCTAGCATTTATGTTTTTTACTCCTTATTTAAAGTGAGATATTAAAAACGTTTCAATTCATTTGAATGGATTTTCTTGATTTATATTTATCGCTTATTTTTTATTAAATATTTTTCTGCTATTATATTATATTTAGTTCTTTTTTGTTTTCTTTTTCATTTAAGTATGTAATTGTGTGTTTTACATTACTTTTACTGGCATTTTTTTTTTTTTTTGTTATTGTTTACTTTAGTCTAATTAAAATGTTACGCGGTTTTATAACAAGTTTTCATACAGTTATTTACAACTTGTTTTAATAATGTTTTAAGTGCACGCTACAATAAGCAACATTTGGAATTTGAATCCAATACACAGAAAAATAAACGAAGTACTTCCAAGGGAATTGTTATTATAAGCACTTCGGAAGTAGAATTCAGTTGGATAGAAGAATTTCTATAAAATTTTTGCTAATTTCAAACTGGTTAATTATAATCATTGTGTAAAAATAGCATAAAAATTACTTTCATATCACAGTTAATCTTATGGCATATAATCCCAGCAAAAACTTACATTGAGAAGTAATAAGTTAAAAAGCTAAAAAAAAGAGGCTTAGTAGTAATACTTATTCGTTAGCATTTTAACTCATTATTTTAACACGGCCATGTCATTAGAGGCAAGTACTTACCATGCTCGCTTACAAATCATTACTTAAATAAGTACTTACAAATAGGGAGTTAAAAAGTTGTTTTGTTTTAAAAACAAAAAATCGCTTTTTTCCGACTCTACCATTACTTTAACAACAGCAAAACGAAAGATACAACAACACCAAGAACGCTACACGAAATAAAACACAAAACAATGAAACCAACATACATTCAAACATATGTTTTTTTCCAATACAATGTTATTGTATTTTTTTTTCCAACGCGTGCACTAACATTCACTTTTTTTGATGAAATTTTCAGAGATTGTCTTGGATTTTTGCTCATATCTCCGTTATTTATGGACGGATTTGGTTGATTTTAAATCGGAAACTTCTCGAATTCTGACAGAATTTTTGAAGATTTGAATCCCGAAGATATCTGGAAGAAATCAGAAAATTGATTTCAACACACAGACAGAAGGACAGACAGACAGACGTACATAGCTTAATCGAGTCCGCCATCTGTAAGGATCCATAATATATATACTTTATAGGGTCGGAAAATTATATTGTAGAAATTACAAACGTAATGACAATGTTATATATGTACATATAACCTTTCACGAAGGTGAAGGGTATAAAAGTTACATAAGTACAAGTCATTACCGAGTTTTGCTGGGATGCTTTACTTTATTGCTTCTTTAGAAGTTCTTTAAAAGTCATAATGCACAATTATACGTTTTAAACAAAAATCATTAGAGTGTTTGTAATTCGTTATACATTATTTTTTGTTTTTTTTTACAACGCAATTATGTACATTAGGGTGGCCCCAAAATGGAAATTGCTAATGTTTCCGCCGAAAATGAAAGTTTAGTACGTTATAAGGTACCTTTTACATGATATCAAAATTTTATGTCATTCCTTTGCGTAAAATTGGAAAACCTTAAAAAAGTACATTTTTAACCTTTGACCCAGTTCACTAAATATTGACTGCAGGACAAAAATTTTGAGAAATGATATCTTAGAATGAAGCAAGATTATTATTGTGTCTTCCCTACAAACTACTACCCTAATGTATATATACATATATATTTTTCAACATTCTTCAAACTGCTGTACGATAATAACACTTGACTGAGTAGAATATTTCTATTTAATTTTTCACATTTTTTGTTATTGTTGTTTTAGTTTATTATAAGTTAAAGGTCAATTATTTTAAATATGAATATATTATTTTTGCCCACTTACAATTACCACTTTAGGAAGAAGCTGAAAACATATTTTTTTTATTTTATGAGGAGAAAAATAATTTCTTTTGTTCACTTTAAGTTCCTTAAATTGACTTAAATTAAATAAATTTTATGCAATATATTTTTTTAAATTTGCTTTATTTATATTTTTGTATGTTTTTTAAACTAATAATAATAATACTTAACTTATTTCCTTTTTTTTGTTTTCAGGTACATATATTGTTTAATATAACAAATTTAAAATTCTATTGCATTTATTTGTGGTATGTATTATTTAAATAACATTTTCAAATGAATTTCACAAAATTTTTTGATATTATTTAACAATATTGTAAAATAGTTGTTGGTACTTTTAATTAAAAATTTGTTAAATTATCATTAACACGACAATAATTTCATAAAGTAAATATTAAAAAAAGTATGCCTCCGGTAAGTTAGTAGTTCTTGTCTGTAAGACCGGAGGTATTAGGTTCGATTCCCAACATAGACGCTTTTAAAGCGTATTTGGATTTGATGTCATATTTCCTCCTCCTTTTAAACTGAATTTTTAAGTAAAATCTATATCCAATAGTGTCCGACCGAACGTTCGGGTACGGGTTCGGAGTTCGGTAAAAAGTGAGGTTCGGTCAATGTTCGGTGTTTGGCGAAATTTTGACCGAACACCGACCGAACTTTTTAGAAAATGTTTTTTTATCATATTTTTATATCACCAAAAAGTTTTAAAAATGCTGAAAATCTGTTTACAGAAGTTATCATACATCCTGGCTGTACAATAAATTTCGGATATACATAGGTTCGGCTGATTTGAAAAACTGTTAACCAGAAACTGATTAAAATGCTAAGAAAAGTGAAACATTTAATTTGAATTATCTAGTTTCGATTATAAATCTTTAATTTCATTTGTAACATCGAAATTTTCTAGGTTCTTATTCTCAAACGATCTAGACATGTCTGTCAGTCTCTTGAAAGACCGATAGGACCTAAACTATTGTTGCAGGTTGATTGGTATTCAAAATGGACAAAATCGCTTTACATTTGGACATGGCCTCCATATAATGTTCGCTTTAGAAAATTACTAACGTTCATAACAGGCTTAAAAATACTAGTATTTTTATGAAATTATATTTAAATTTTTTTATGGACTAAAATTTCATATAAATTGGCAAATTGAAATTTGCGAATTGTGTTAAGTATTGTATACATATTTTTTATTTTTTTAAAAACTATTTTTATTGATTCGATAAAGTTCATTTTGATTTTGAAACCTATTTAAAATTAAATTTTGATCACATTTGATCATAATATCATGTATAACAATATTATGATAAATACAAAAATATCATGATGAAATATTTTGACGGTATTTAATCATATGATATTTTAAAATTTTTACAATAACGATAATATGTTTAGACTATAATCATAAATTTAATCATAATATGTTGCTCTTAGAACATGGTTATCACAACCATGTTTTTTCTCAGCGTGCTCTTACAGATAATTATATCATTGTCAATAAATCGTTTAAAAATCAAAAATAAAAAAGTATTATGTTTCATTTAAAAAAAGTTCGTGTTCACCGAACTTTAAAAACCGAACAAAGTTCGGGTTCAAATTTACCGAAGTTCGGGTTCGGTATTCGGTACCGAACGAAATTTTGAGTTCGGTCGGACTCTAATTTCCAACTTATATCCTTATTTATTAACTCAGTCAATAAACAGCAACAACATGTGTAACACTTTAGTCCCTCTATTCATCTACATGGTTACAATTTCATTTAGATGTCAGTCTATTTTATATAGTTTACCTGTTGGCTTTAGAAAAATTCATCTGAAATTCTTGAGAAACTTAAAAAGTTGAAAACAAACAAAGCCACGTTTGTGTTACCAACTCACTTTTAACATATTGTTGCTTAATTATTGTTGATCTTTAGTAAAACATTTTATATAAAATTAAAGTTTTTGTTGTTATTTATTTTAGTAGAACTCAATAATAAGGAACATACAAGTATTAAATATTTATTATAGTTAAGCTACAATAAGTTAAATAATAATAGTTTGTTAAAGTTTTATTTTGTTGTTGTTGTTGCTGGTATTTGTTGTAAAACAGCTACTAAAGTAATAATTCTAGGAATTTCAAAAAAAAAAAAAAACTAAACTAAAGATTAATGTTTCCCCAAAGAATATTGAATAATAAATTGAGTTTTATTTTCTCTCTCTCTATTACCCACTCCACCTGTTAAAAAAAAATACAATAAATTATTATAATTATTATAATATAATATGAAAAAAAAACAGCAAAAACAAATGTGTACAACGTGCATTTATGCAATTAGGGGATTTCAATCAATCAAATAAATAATTAATTAAAATATGAAAACAAAATAGTTTCAAATGAAAATCTAATGCAATATTTTGTATAATATTAATGTACATATTCCGAAAATATACAAATATATATATATATTTTTTTAATATTTTATATCATTTTTTTTAAGATAACCTTTTTTGGTAATTCCACTCTGAATCGTAAATACACTAGAATTACAATTTAACTATTAATTATAATACCTTTCATTTCCACTAAAAACTCGGTAATGACTTGCACTTACACAACCACATACTTTTCAATGACTACTACATACCGTCTGCATTGCTTTTAAGTATTGTTATAATGACTTACATACTATCAGTTACGTAAGTACTTTATTTTGAATTTTGCAATTTGTTTGCAAAGTAAATTTTTCAACTCCTTACCCAGCAAAAATAAAACGAAGTACTTCCACAGGAATAACATTTATCACCACTTCAAAAGTAGTACTAATTTTTTTACCTTCTGAAGAAGTGATTTTTAAAGAAAAAGAAGCGAAAATAATTTAATTTTTTTAATGTTGAAGATATATTTTTTGTTCTTTCATTTTTATGAGATAAAAAATGTTATATTTGGGCTTTTGTATTTATTAAGTTAATATTATTTAAGTAAATTAGTTGTATTCTATAATACTACAATTTCACTTCCGAATAACTTCCAAAAAAAGAGCATTAATATTACTTCAGATGTAGTGAATTTGGAATCAAATAAAAAGGACATCAATCCTATGACAAGCCTGTGTTAAAATCATCACTTCTTCAGGTCTTTTTCAGTACATCCATGGAGTAAATTCTACTTCTTTTTCGCTTCTTTGGAAGTTCTTTTTTTGCTGGGTTATTTGTATGTACTTATTTAAGTAGTTATTTGTAAGCGAACGTTGTAAGTACTTGCCTTCAATGTCCCAGCAAGAACTTAAACTTGAAATTGCTTGAACTTATATAACCACTTACTTCTCAATGACTACTACATACCGTCTGTTGCACTCTTATAATGACTTACATATAATCAGATACGTAAGTACTTTACTCGAAGATAGAAGCCCAAAGTCGTATCCTGTAAGAGCGATTATTTTTTGGTTTATAAAACAAACCAACTTTTTAACTCCCTACTTGTAAGTACTTATTTAAATAGTGATTTGTAAGCGAGAGTCATAAGTACTTGCCTCCAATTTCATCACCGTGTTAAAATGTTAATGAATAAGTAGTAATTTTTTAATGTAAGTTTTTGCTGGGGTCATCATCGTGTTAAAATAATGAGTTTAAATGCTAATGAATAAGTAGTGAAAATATGCTTTTTTAGCATATTAACTCATTACTTTTCAATGTAAGCTTATGTTGGGTTTGAGACGTTATCGGTAACCCTATACCGATATAATTTTAAATACCGTTACCGATAACATAAATATGTATTTCTCTTTGCCAACCTTGCTAAACTTTTCTTTAAAAAAAATTACCCACATAAGATATTTTCCCCGTACCGTTTATCGCAAGGCAAACTCTATTCTAAATAGACATATTTGCATTCAACAAAGTCCACAAGGCTGTCTTGTCCGCCCGTCCGTCCGTCTATAAACAATGCATATAAACAATTTATATCTTTTCATTTTTCATTTTATGGGAATTTTCTGTAAAACTCTTTACAGGCGTAGTAAAGAAAAATATAAGAGAAAGAAAAAAATTAAAATAATTTATTAAAAAACTATATTTATTACACAATATGGAGAATTATAGCGAAATAATATAAAATATTGTTGGTTTTTCTTTGGATTCTATAAAGAATTTTATAATAATGTGTTAAAACTACATACATATATTTATTATTTAATAATTAAATAAAAGGTTGCATACTATACTAAGAAATTGTTAAATTTATTTAAAATAAAGAACAACAACAACATTAAATATTATGGAGAAATTATGTATAATAAATTACCTATTTTAAAATAATGTGGCTTTTATTTGGATTTTATAAATCATATATACAAATTAACAATTTTTTAAATAATGTAATGTGTTAATTATGTATGTACAGTAGGGTAACCCCTACACATTTTTTGCCCTATCTTGTGTTAGGTATTAAATTAAGATGTACGTAATATGTATACCAATAAATATAAGATATCATAAGCTTTTCATTGATATATAACACTTTATGATTTCACTGAATTATGGAAGAAATATTTCAGTATAACTGAAATACTTACATAATTTCACGTAATACTGTATAGTAGGTCATGGCATATCCTTATAAATGTTGGTAGAGGGGTTGACGATTACATTCAAGTTGTTTATGCATAACTTCTTTGTGATACTAGTGTTTATAAGTGAATTATTGACCATCAAGTCATTTTCTGAAAGGGACTTTTGTCTAAATTAACATTTAGACAAAAATGTGCCGATTTTTGCGATACTAAAACATTTAACATAATTATGAGTTCAACGACCCTATTCGGGAGGTACGGTTGTAAATAATGAACCAATTTTATAGACCATTTTCAATAGGATTCGTCATAGGGTAAAGAGATAAGTATGTGCCAATTATCTAGCGTGCGCTTAATTATTTTTAGTGTATAATAGGATCCTTTGCCAATATTTTAGGAATTTCAATACATGGAATATTTTTAATTAATACAAAATTTGATTCATTGAAATACAATTTTTTGCGTATGATAAATTCTGTGATCCACTTTAATTACCAGTTTTATTATTCCTTAAAATAGCAAATTGTTAATAGCAACAAAAATGTTTATTTCTAAGAAACTTAGACATTTTGTATAAATAATAATTAAAAATAACTACTGTTTTTTTAAAATTTCTATTAATAGATAATTTAATTCTATAATAAATAAAGTTTTGTTATTAAAATAGAAATATTAATTGATTGATTTGTTTAT